TCATCATGGCCTATTTCTTCCCATTACTCGGAGGAAAGGACAAAAAACCTCTACTGTGTATATTCTGGGATGTTAGTGCTTGTAGACCACCCTGATGATTATCCTGCAAATAAGAAATCAGCCCAGGCTCTATTTTGCAACTTATGAATGTGGTGAAGGTCTGTTGGTGAGCACCCACCTTTTTCCATAATTGCATTTGTCCCATCTAATATGGACTCAGAATTTGGAATGTTCTCAATGGATATACTGAGCTAGCTTCAGTACATTTTTTTTTCAGCTTTATTTTACTGTCTAAGCTCTCTCCACGGTATGCTACAGAAGAACTATGCAGCTGCTAAATACAATGTATAGGATATTTTGCAACTGAATTATTGTCTGAGTTATAGTTATATATCTCTGTAAATCTAGAGTAGACACTTTAGATAACAGAGCAGAAATTAAGCGGTTCGCTCCCTGCCCAGGCGCAAGAAGTTGCAATTGTCGCTTGGAGGTTACTGCTGTGGCTGGGCACCACGGTGGGTAAGGACTAAGCTCTGCCGAGTCAGCACCTGCTGACACACTGTTAGCGAGTCGACATAAGTCGGCACAGGCCGGGCTCCCCCATAGCCCGGGCGAGGCTCAGCTTCGCATATCGGACTTATCCTTATAGGGTTAAAAAATGACTTCAGTATTTTATTCTTTATCATTATTGAGACCTTTCGCTGCTTGGTACTTCAATATCTTTACCTTTTTATTTTAGACTGGTGGCATTACACCCTGTTTGAGAAATTTGAGGATTATGTAATTACTGAAATATCTAAAAGTTTCCAATAGCAAGCTTATTTTGGAAGGAATTTGCAAACTGATAATGAGTGTGTTTTGGAATGACCCAGGATAACATGAATGGGCACACAGAAAAGTTTAGCACTACAAAGATTATTTTGAATTCTGCCATACTCTGTAGACTTGGGGTATGCATAGTGATAACTATGAGACAGTATGCCATGCACTGAAATATTTTGATAAGCATTTTCTGCAAACTGTTCTTCCTGTGTTGAAAAATGTTTGGTCTCAGGGGAAACCCACATAACAATAAAATATTGCTTGAAAATTGAATGGGCGATACACTCTAGCTATATAGCAATATTATAATAGAAAGAATAATGATGCTTGATATCAAGATTCCTAAACCAGAATGGGAATTATTTTTTCATACTTCAGTTCTTTTGATGCTCTCTGTGTTTGATAATTGAATTTACTGAAATATGAGTAAAAGCTAAACTACTTTATTTTCAGGCTTGTTCCAAAAGCAAGACTCAGTATGACGACCATCCACTGGTTTAGGAAAGGATTACGTCTCCATGATAACCCTGCTTTACTAGCAGCTATTGATGAGGTACCTTTTGTTTTTTTTGTTTTTCATATGAAGATACTTGATATAAGAATCTAAAAAATTATGTAGATCAAAGCTTCGTAAGTCGAAATTCTGAAGTTAAAACCAAAACTTAAGCTTTTTTTCTTTGGGCTTCTTTTTCACAGAGTAAGGAATTGCGGCCAGTGTTTGTGCTTGACCCCTGGTTTGTAAGAGAAAGTCGCACAGGTGTCAACCGATGGCGTTTCTTGGCACAAACGCTAGTTGACCTGGACACAAGTCTCAAGCAGCTTGGCTCTAGGTAATCAATATGTACTTGTGTGTGTGTCTGTTATTGTTTTTACTTTCCATAGTTTTCCAGTTTTGAAGGATTTCTTGAAAAAGAATCCTTGATCCTGTTGAATATTAAACCAGTTTTAAAACAAGTGAGTTATGCTTCTTTTGGCTTGATAATCTTTCTATTGCAATTGGTCTGTCAACACAGGCAGCACAATTATTACTGAAATAAATATATTTTTTTATTCATTAAAGTAGTGTGAGGTATTGATTTAACATTTATTTTAATTTCCACAGGCTATTTGTTGTTCGAGGGAAGCCAGAAGAAGTCTTTCCCAAATTATTTAAAGAATGGAATGTAGAGAAAATGACATGGGAAGTGGACACGGAACCTTATGCTCGCGTTCGGGATGAAAAGATTGAGAAATTGTCAAAGGAACATGGTGTGAAAGTTGTATGCAAAGTGGGACACACATTGTATGACACTGAAAAGTAAGAAATTATTTTTGAATAGATATTTTTGTGTTGCTGAATATTTTGAATATGAGAACTCTGGATACTGTTATATTAAACCCCTATGTTCACTGTATATAAGTCAGACTAGAAAATTTAAACACATTGTTAGATAATTGTACTTTGTTTTGCTTTTTGCCAGAATTATCAGAACAAACCTTGGGAAAACACCGATGACTTTTCAAGGACTGGAGGGCGTGTTGAAGAAAATAGGACCACCACCGAAAGTTGTTGATAAGCCCACCAGTCTCCCCGAGGGATGTAAGATCAGCTCAGAAGTAGCAGCTGATCCTAAATATGATCCCCCTACTCTGAAAGGTAAAGATTGTGATTGTTTTGAATCCCTTGTTTTTTTAAGTG